TGGTGGTTTTGGCTGGGTTTTCTGGGGGAACTCTAGAAGTACCCTAACTCCCCCTTCTCGTTTCTCCACCTTCATCTGAGAAGGCGATCGGTATGGTCATCATCATCGCCATCTCCTCCAAGCCACCACCATCCTCCCCGCAAGCCACTGACTTCATCTGCAGGTTTTAGGCGAGGGCTAGGTTTTCCAAGCCACCATCGTCCAATCCACCGCCGCAAGCCACTAACTGCTCCATCACAAGTGAACGTCACCATTACCACTAAACTCCACCATCACCATGTTTGAACCTGTCATAGATGGCCACTCCTTCTGGTGAATCTCTCACTCATTGTCATCTCAAACCCAATCTTTCACACCCTCACTCATAGATCTGCTCAATTTATTCACAATCATCAGTCGATTTATGCAAGTGGGTTTTCATATTTGTGGGCTAGGTTTCTCAATTTGAAGTGATTTGATTTTAAGGTTTGGGGTTTTAGATTTCTGGTCGATTTTGAGATTTCTAGTTTTTCAGGTTTCAGTTCTTGGTTTTCAGATTTGATTTGGTTTGGTTTGGTTGTCGGAAGTAGGCTGGTGGCCGGAGGTGACTGGTGGTCGGACATGATATTGTTGACCAATATTTTCCGGTGACCTGGTTGAAAGGAGGGTTTAGGGCCATTTCTTTTTTAAAAGGAAATAATAATATTTTTTTATAATAAATAATTAAGAAATGACAAATAAATAGAAAATAAAACAAAAAAGAAATAAATAAGGGCAAAATTGGTCTTTTTATGTCTGGAGGGATGAAGCGTGTAAGTTTTAAATTAACGAGGGACGGTCCTAGTTAATTTTTAAAAATAGGGACCGAACGTGCATTTTGACACCTGCACGAGGGACGATTCGTGTAATTTACTCTCCATTTTTTTTCTTCCAAATTCGGAAGAGGTGGTGGTGGAGATAGGTGGTTGGAATCTACTCAAGGTACCAGTTATTCTCTAGCTCTGAATATTCTGAACCTGATGACCGGAGAGCTCTACATTTCTCCACCGTCTTTGTCAATATCTTTATCAGACCATCTGTTATATCCACCACATACCACATATGTGGTGGGTGCCACATCAGCACCACATTCACCTACCACTGACATGGGATACCTACCACTAAATACACCGCTCCACCTCATTTTTTTTATTTAAATTTAATTCAAAAATACATTAAAGCACAATAAAACATTTTTTTTAATTAAATTTAATTCAAAAACACAATAAAACATATATTTTTTAAACTAGTTTTTTATTCAATGAAACAAGATTACATTAATTTAAAACACACAACATAAAATAAAATAAAAACATAAAACTACAACCACAAACAACTTAAACTAGTTTTTAAATCTTATTTTTAATCACTAAATTTTGGGTCCTCTCTCAATTTTCACCAAGCTTTGACGTGTTTAAACGGTATGTGTTTCGTGTCTTCATATTGGTGCATGACCACAACAAACGGGTAGCCTTCGTGTACGTTGTTTATAACAAAGTTATAAATACCATTGAATTCAAGACATTTAACCCTCATATCGCGATACTTCGAACATATTTCATCAAGACTATGACTTCGCAACCCATTAAATCATGGAAAACGTTTCCAACTTTTATCCAAAAATTAGGATGTGTTACTGGGTTTTCTGAAGCCGCTACCCATGACCGTGTTAAGTTATCTTCTTCATTTTCTGACCAATTCATCATTTTAGGAGTCATTGGTTTTGAAAGAATGCAAAAGAAGTGTGTGATTTTGTGAGAAAAGAAAGAAGAAATTGTGTGAGTTTGTTTAATAGAAAGTGTGGTATTTATAGAAAAAGTTTAATATGTTTGAAAGGTAAAAAAAAATCAAAGTAGTCGTTGCAAAAGCATCAACCAATAGCTATTTCCGTTTGATTTCGTGGAACACAAAACGAAACACCACGACCACGATCGACCACGACCGGCCGGGATGGTATGCACGGTCGTGGTCGTGGTCCACGTATACCACGAGCCTTCTCGTGCTTTGTATTCCTTATGGCCTCATGTGAGACGTGTGTTTATTGATATGTTGTTGCATCTCTGCTATGGAATGATTGAGTTGTTGTATCTCTGCCATGGAAGAATGCAACTCTTTCCATTCTTTTTCTTCTATCCACAATAACCAAGTTTGGGTTCATTTCTCTTATACCAATTACAGGTGTAACTGAGTCGAGACAACTCGTGAGATACTCAAGGCTGATTCGAAAAATACTTGAAATCAACTCGGTTCAAATTGAGTCGAGATTGAAGTATTGAGTATTGCTATATTTACACTTTTACCGTTTTTTTTTCATATTACATATTTTATAGCCGAGTCGCTTAATCGCAAAATTTCAGTTACTTTATCAAGCTTGAGCTTCATGGTGCTCGATTACACCCCTAATACCAATTGATAAACACCCATCACATACTAGGCATAAGCCCAAGTGTAGAACTTGTTCACAAAATCCAACATGTAAGATGACGAGACACCTAGACTTATAAGCAACCAACTAAACTTACATTTTACCGATATGAGATCGTAACATCTTCCATGATTACACGTTAACTTTCTCACACATCAAAACATTAATTCAAAACAAAACACCACTATCCATTAAGAACCAAAAAACATAACAAACAATATCCAACTAAATAAACAAATACAAAATATTAGTATGTAAGATTACTTATGTAATTTATATAATTTAGATACATACATGTAAAATAATTAAAAAGACAAAGGTAGAAAGATGACCTTTTTACTAACATGCGATGGGTATGAAAAGAATGATGCTAGAAGAACTAAAGATTAATCAAATGTATGGTTTTTTCTTTGTATACTACTTAACATTACTTAGGACTTCACCTTATAACATATGTGTAATACGTGTGCAATTTTTTTGAAATCCCAGGATATCATGCAACAATACAAATATTTTAATGAAGTCTGTCAAAAAATTTAATTGTGACAGTCTACATATATCAACATGGTTTATTAGAAATTGTATGTGATGGATAAGCAACATTTCCTTCATTTTTAAAATCAAAACAACGTACTTTTAGTTTTAATCCAAAAGTACGTCATAATTGTAAGCTCTCGAAGCCAGATGTGATGCAACATAATTGTAATATTTTCTACTATTAAAAATAATGAGTCATAGACTCGCTCTTAATTTTCTACATCTATAAATAAAAAAATAAAAAAATAAAAAAACATAAATGTCCTCATGGTCATCATAAAAATATTCCTAAAAAGCATGCCCATGCAAAGGCAAGCCCAAGAAACCTAAAAAAAGAAAGAGCTATTCTATTATTAGCTAGAAATTGAATATGATCACATGTTCTACCGCCTTACTTGTTATGCAGATAGAGCAAAACAGGTTGGATATTAAACTATCAGCCGACTAAAACCGATGTCACCTAAACAAAAATCTCAAACTTCTATCTCACCCCACACCCACACAAAAAAAAAAAAAAAAAAAAAAAAAAAAAAANTTGTCCAGTCTAATAGCCCTAAATCTAATAACTAAAAAAACATGCCATCTGTATTGCTATGAGAGCCAAAACAAGTAAAATATGCATATTTAATATTCTAAACTTTCCTCCAAAAGAGCATTCATCTTCATAAAAGAAAAACGTATATTAAAGTCTTTCATAGTTTCTTGTTTTTGTTTTTTTTTTTCTTAAATCTTTCATTCATATGACCAAACTGCCTGTACATCTTGACCCGAGTAAAGCCCACCAACAGGAGGCATCATCAAGCCTGCCGATCCCATTCCTACCCCTTCACCAGAAACCCCAGCAGCACCCTTCTCATTTCTGTCCCACAAAAAAAAATCAATTTTCAATAAATGAGATAACAATTAAAACATATTTATGAATTATTATAATACTTACTTGGCCCAAACATTATGAGCAATTCCTTCCGGAAGGTTCTTCAAACGGTTGTTGTTAATGTTAACGTTGTTATTACTTGACATAGACCCGTATGAAGTTCTCATTGTCCCCCATGGATCATCATTCGCTGCTTTTCCCATTAACCCAAGAGTATCCAAACAAAGAGGAGTGCTATTCCACATTTGCCACTCCTTCTCATTTCCACCACCGTGTTCTTCCAGGGGCAAATTTGTCTTACTTTGAGTGCTGGAAACCGATAACCTTGACATAGGAGACTCAATCGGTGATGGCCTGTTAACTTCCGAATGGGCCTTCACGGGCCTTGACTTTTCAAACCCTAAGTCCAATTGAAAATCATCGAGTGATTCCGAGACTGGCCCGATTAAGGATGCGGGGTCCAGAACGTAACATGGGTCTTGAAAATTGTCAAATTCTTCCACTTCCGGTGGAAGAATGGGATTCGATGGAAATCCGAGCGGAATGGAATTGGTGATTCCTTCGGTTGGTGGAATGGAATTAGGTATTCCTCCGTTTGGTCGGCTTATGACATTTGTGGTGGTGGATGGAGTAGTAGTTGATGAACGAGTGAATAGCTGTTGCCATGATCTTTTAGGAGGAGGACAAGGTTGGGGCTCAAAAACCACCTGCAAAGAGAAAATAAATGTTAAAGAGTTAAAAGAAACAAATATCAAATATGGTGTTTTAAAGAGTTAAAAAGAAACAAATGAGAAGAAGAAAACTTACAGGACGAATATGGTTATGATCATCTGGATGTGGATTTGATTTCCCAAAGCCACGATCATTCTGGACAGAATCTCTCTTATTAGGGGTATTTTGGGAATGATCTGAATAAGAAATGGATCTATGTTCTCTTGTGTTTCCAGCATTTGAATTTGTCCCTTTCCCAAAGAAACCACCAGTGCCAAGTGTTCTTGAAGATGGAAAAAAGTTACCCCTCATTCGATCCAAATACCTTCCACCAACAGTAGTTCCCTTGTTGTTATGGGTATTTACCGTTGTACCCTTTGACCCATGTCCTGTTTCAGTGATGTTGGACCTTAAAGTCAAATTTTGACCACGATCAATGTCCCCTTTCTTGTTTCTTTCAGTTTCTTTCTTTTTCTCGTGGCGTTTCCTTTCAGTTTCTTTTTTATCCTTTTCTTCATCTTTTTCAGTTACTGTTTTTTCATCTCTTAATTTCCTACGTTCTTCAACTAACTTTGCAACTTCTTCCCTCTGTTTCCTTTCCTCTTCCTCTAATTGCTCCCTCTCTAATCTCGCCTGTCTTTTCTCTTCAGCTTTCCTGCGAGCTTTTTCACTTTTACTTTCATTACAATTTACACCATTGTCACCCTTTTTGGATAAACCCCTAATATCTGTATCCGTTGAGGTGTTATCTTCAGACAAACTAACTCTAAAAAGCTTCCTCAAAACCCACATAACACCCAAGAAAACAGCACCTAAACTCTTGCAGACAAAAACAAGAAGAAAAGAGTATGATTTTTCAGAAAAGAAGTGGTCACTGTAACTAGACTTCCAAGAACCAGACCCATGAGCCCAATTACCACCATTTTCAAGCCAATCCTGACCACATATCCAATTATTATCAGACCAAACTTTCCCATTCAACATCTTCTCACCTTTCCCTACCAAATCTTTTAAAATCCCAGAATTTGAAAGGCGACCTAAGCCAGGAGGAACAGATAAGTCCAAGACAGGTCTCTTGGAGATATGTCCACAGTAAGAACACATGAATTTACCTCCAGAAGGGTTCTGATCACGATATGGAGTCAAACAGTTCCTGCATCGCCTGATTGCAGTCTTTCTAAGCTTCTGCATTTCAATGGCTTCAAACCTTTTTCTCTCTCTAAGTCTAGCATTCCTACGAGCACGCCAAGAAGACAGTTGGGGCATCAAGATTTCATACCAGAAGAGGGTGATTAGGAGGACAAGAACGCAAGCTAGCCTTGGTGAAGTGATTTCAAAACGAAAAGCAGGTGGAAGGAATTGGGATAACAGCCACAGTCCAATCAGTGGGATTACCAACCATGGTAGCATGGTAGCGACCTTTCTTGACCACTTCTGAATCACACAGAGTATACACATTATCCTTCAAACAGCACCCTATCTTCAATCCTTATGTTTCTCCCTTCTTTCAATCACAAACCCTAATAGCACCAAAAAATCCACGATATGACAATCAGAATTACAATCCCTTTTCTAAACCCTAGAAAAAGATAAGCGCGAAATGGCATATTATTTTCAGGAACAATAATAACAATACGATAATCGGTGAGATAAAATGCTGAACTGGAACAACGTCTGTAAAATTAGGGTTTTGGTAGCTTAAAAACCTCAGTGAATAAGAATCACAAAATTTAAAATGAACAAGTACAGAACAATGAATGGATAATAAATGAAAACTAATCGATTTATTAGACTTCTGAAATGAAAAATAGAAAAAACAACACTTAAGGAGATTGAAAGGAATAGTCCATTACCGGAGATAGATTACCGAAAATTAAACTTCCGATGCCGGCCGATGAGATGTCGCCGTTGCACGGCACCCTTTTCCCTTTAAGCTGTGACGGTGATGAAGATGATGGTTTTCTGACGTAAATTGGGAGAGAAAATTGGGAGAGAAAATGGTGACTCGTGTATATATAAATGAGTGGTGAACCGGACAATTTTATTTACTTGAGTCTTGTAATTAGACCGGGTTTAGAAGGCTTCTTAGATAAATTTTGACTAAATCTAGAAATTCTTTCTTGTTTAAATTATGTAGTTTTCTACATTTGAAAAGGTCACAAATATATCTTGTTGTATCTATCAAACTAGTGACACTCATTCTATACATTCAAATAAGCAAATTATATTTATAACATTTTAAAACATCTATTTCAAATATTTTTATAATTTAAATATTTAAATAATAAGTTGAATTATGTATTAAAACGAATGTCATGTGTCTAACAGTATTTAAACTATTTATGATTCTTTTAAATAGATTTGGCGCGCAAAAATGTATATGATAAATTGAATTTGGCGCGCAAATATCTATATGATAAATAGAAATAGACTGGTCTGTTGTACAGAAACCAGATTTGAAGATTCAGTTGTAAAGAGAAATAGTATTGTTTGTCGTTATTCTAAAAAGGGTTTTGGCAGTATATTCAATAAGAAAACATGATTGCGGGTATACAACCAAGTCATGTGACGTAATGTAACGATTATTGTAAACTTAGCAGTTCAGTTGTTGACGTAATATAACGATAATCTAAAACTTAACAGTTCAATGGGTGACGTCTGTAAGTAGAATACTTTGCAGTAATCATTGACTTGGACTTCTATGATATAATTTGAATTTGGCGCGCAAATATCTATATGATAAATTGAAATAGACTGGTCGGTTGTACTGAAACCAGATTTGAATATTCAGCTGTAAAGAGAAATAATATTGTTTGTCGTTATTCTAAAAAGGGTTTTGACAGTATATTCAATAAAAAAACATGATTGCAGGTATATAACTAAGTCATGTAACGTAATGTAACGATTATTGTAAACTTAGCAGTTCAGTTGTTGACGTAATATAACGATAATCTAAAACTTAACAGTTCAATAGGTGACGTCTGTAAGTAGAATACTTATACTTTGCACTTTGCAGTAATCTTTGACTTGGACTTTTATGATATAATTTGAATTTGGCGCGCAAATATTTATATGATTAATTGAAATAGACTGATCGGTTGTACTGAAATCAGATTTGAATATTCAGTTGTAAAGAGAAATAATATTACAAGTAGAATATTTATACTTTGCAGTAATCTTTGACTTGGACTTTTATGATATAATTTGGATAGCCACACAATCCAACTATAGGGGTTTATAGGAATGTAGAGCTATATAGGAACTTTGGCTTGTAATAAAAGCATAAAATCAATACATTACATAATTGTTCGGTCACAGAAGTCTATTGTATTGAATTAAGACTTTGTATTGAATTCTTCACATGAAGAGTGGATTACAATCTCTAAAACTCACAAAAGTGATATTCATTATGGTAAGATATTTAGTGATGTATTTCATTTCCTACACAATGAGGAAATAATGTTGTATGGGGCGTGTGAGTCATATACTAATATCTCTATTTGTATTTAGGGTAAATTACATTGAGTTATCGATTTACTTGCTATTAAAAGTATATATGTATAAATAACATAATAGAAGATGCCTAACTAAATCTTCAATATAGTCACATATAAGATAATAACTAGGTAGTTAACCTTTGATATTTGTTGTGGGACATTGATAAATCCTTTGTAATGTCGCCGCGTTATTCATAGGGATTAGGCCCATGACATTAATCGTTACTTACAATTGTATAAATAATTATGAATAGATTTATAGTTTTTATATATTTTTTAATGATTTAAGTTAATATTTATAATTATTTGTGGTGTTTGTGAATGTAAATAGTATCTAGCGCAATGTTACCGGAAGCTTTTAACCAAACGGTATCAGCGGTATCAGGTTTTATCTTTTTTTCTTTAGAAGTAGGTTAGAAGTAGATTAGATTTGTCGTTAATTTTTTTTTTCCAGCAATAGACATTTTTTTAAGGAGGGGGGGGGGATTTCAAAATTTAGTCACAAAAAAACGATTTTCTAATAATAGACATGCTTTTTGCGGAGGGTACCTCTACGGGCTCCGCGAAGTCAAAGATCTCTCCGCGGAATGACAATTTTGTAAATAAATCAAGGGTAGTTTTGTAAATTTCCCCACTCCGCAGAGCAAGTAACGAGGTCCACGGAGGGGCTCTGTGGAACTGTAGAGGTTTTGTCGATTATGCATTACGACATCCACATTATGTCCCCACTCTGTTGCTTCACATTAGCCTCGCCGACCTCCGCATTTTGCACGTCGACCTCCACAGCAGTCTCGTCCACCTCCACAGCTTTCCTCGCCGACGAAAGGAGATGGATCTGAATCCCTTTAACATTTTTTGGCGATGGATACGGCCCCCGAGTATGCATTTCCGATTTTATGTATCTCGTTTTCATATTCTTTAGTTTTAGGGTATAATGTTTGATGAAAATGCGTTATATATGCCTGAGAAAAACCTGTGAAAAGATGGAAATTGGGGAAAAAGACGAAAATTGGGGAAAATCCATTTTGCGGATATAGAAAAGGCAGCTAGAGATGTGGGATTTATTTACAGAAATAGGATGGCGGATATTATTTGGGACACTATATAGTTTTCTTTGTAACGCCCTATCCCGAATCGTTTTCCATTTGGGTGTGGTTGACGCAATTTAGATCATCCGAGTGTTCGGTTTGTGTTTTGGAGCCAAAGGGCATTTTAGTAAAGTGTCAGCTCGGGCATTTATGGAAATTGGATTTTTGTTCTGGAAATCTTAAAGCAAGTATGAGTTGATAGAAGTGTAGAGCATCTCGTAATCTCTTCGTAGATGTAAGGATCGTCGGAATCGGGCTTATAAGGAGTTATGGCCTTCGGAAGGTTGCAAGGTTTAAGGCAAAACCCTAGTACGCGGGGTGTACATAGGTTGTACGTGGGGCATACTGATGTGAAGGTAAGTATGTTGGGCGTACCTCAGTGTACGATGTGCGTACAAAGGAGATGGATCGCGATCATTGAGAGGAGTACGCTAAGCGTACTGGGAGTACGCGGGGCATACTCCAGATTCATGCAAATCCTATTTTAGGGCTTTTAACCCTATTTAAGCACATTTTCTCTTCACCAAACCTTAATACCTTCAGCCTCCACCCATTTTTAACCCTAGAACCAAACCCTAAGTGCAATTTGGTGATTTTGATCTTGGTATGTACTTGATGTGTGTCTTGAGAAGAAGAAGAAAAAGAAGAAGAAGAAGAGCATCATTTGGAGGTGTGGCTTGAGTGTCTAGATCTAGGAGTATCTTTCCATTTGTAAGCTTCCAAAGGTAAAAAGCTTTGACCTTGATGATCTTTGTGGTTGGATCTATTTTATGGAGTTCTTTGGCATTGTTAAGTCCCTTGATGAAAAGGTGAGCTTTTGATCTACTCCAGAAGTAGTGGATGTTAGATCTAAGCTTCAATAAGGTCCTTTGTTCATAAAAATGGAAACTTTATGAAAGACTTTGGTCCATGCATGTATTAAGCTCTTATTTAGTTCTTTTCTTTAAGTGTTGAGTCCCATTAAGTCGTGCTTGTGAGTAAAGTTGGAAACTTTATTGGTTAAGACCTTCAGATCTATGTTTTAGACATCTTGACTTAACCCATTAACATCAAAATATGGGTTTTGGACTCCTGACTAGTACGTTGCGCGTACGAGGAGGTACGCTCAGCGTAATGCGAGGATTGTGCATCAGGCTATTGTAGGTCGTGCTTTGTGGTCGAGTAAGCGGGGCGTACGTCTCTAGTACGCTGGGCGTACTCCCCAGAGAATCGTTTTGGGTTTTTGAGGTTTGGGGCCATTGTTGGGTTTTTGTAGTTTGGGCCTTGTTGGGCCATTAGACTTCTTTTTGGGCTTCTAGGTTGTGCCTTTTGGTCGCTTTTGGATTTTAGGACCATAAAGGGGTTTTGGGGGCCCAATTTGGAAAATTGGGCCATATTTGGGCCTTGGGTGTTTATATGGAAGTTGGGCCTTTGGATTATTGGTTTGGGCTTGGTCCTTGGGCAAAGCATAAGGAACGGTAAAAAGGACTTTTACCCTAGTTTGGACTCTTAGTGTGAGTCGTGACCCAGTTATTAATTTGATGTTATTTTGGGTGATTAATAGCGCAGGATTGTTAGCGGATCTGCAGTCAGAGAGTATATGTGTGGGTTTCAGTTGTTTGAGGTGAGTTTTCTCACTATATCAATGGGTCGAAGGCCCCAATGTCGGCCCATCATTTGACAAGTGGGTTGATAATTATTATGTGTTTGGTTGTATGAAGACCATGGGGGTAGCCCGTGGCACTTGGATATCAGACCATGGGGTAGCATGTGGCATTCCAGGTAAAGACCATGGGGGTAGCCCGTGGCACTTAGATATCAGACCATGTGGGTAGCCCGTGGCATTCCAGGTAAAGACCATGGGGTAGCCCATGACACTTGGATATCAGACCATAGGGGTAGCTCGTGGCATTCCAGGTTAAGGCCATGGGGGTAGCCCACGGCAACTATACACGTGCATGATATTATGTGGTTGTATGTTGTGTGATATTTTGGGGAACTCACTAATCTTTGTGCTTACGGTTTTTAGATTATGTTTCAGGTACTTTGGTTTTCAAATGGAAGAGCTCGGGATGGTTGTGGGGCACACACCACCCCGTTCCATATTTTCTTGACTTACTCTGATCTGATATGATGATTGATACATTTGTTTCATATGGATTTTTATGATGATTTTTATGGAATACTAGTTTTATTAATTTAAAAAATGAAATTTCCGGGTTTTATTTTTGGGACGTTACAAGTTGGTATCAGAGCCTTGGTTTGAGGGATTCGGACATACTCTCGGGTGTGTCTGAACTCAAACTGAGGATTTGGTAAAGTTTTCAAAAAGAAAAGTATTTTTGTAAGAAAAAGGGTTTCTCAGATAAGAAAGGGTGTGGTGCGTGCAATTAGCCAAGCTCAAGTAAGTTCTCCAAAAATACTCATACATGTTGTCTGATATGATTTGATCTGTGAATCGCATGCTAGTTAGGGCTAAGGATCTGCTCAGTTTTGCATGATAGAATGCTATGAGAGATGCCTTTGTATGTCTATTGTATGAGTTGGTAGACTTGCATGCTAGTGATGGTTAGTCAGTGATAGATTGGCCTGATATGTGATGCCTTGTAGCCTTGGGAACATTGGATGATATGTTGGGATGGGAATAGCTATTGGTATTAGTAATTGCTAAGTGTATGCTTTAAAAATTGTATACGGTGAGGACCTTATAGCCCTATAATAATTGATTTGGCCTTATTTCATGTTCCTTGTTTGGTTGTGGTCCTAGGGTAGAATCTTTTATTCAACAGTCTATTTGATCCTGTTATGTGTATAATTTGCATGCACAAGGCAACCGGCAGTAAGGGTGGAAATTCCTAGCATGAGCTGTGGTGTGTGAGTTTGAATGTTCTTTTATTATTCTATGGATTAGAGTGCTACTGCTCGAATGCTACTTGCTTCGTGATTTATGGGACTCTTAAGTGGTGGGAGTTAGTTGTTAAGTGAACATGTTAACTTACATTTAATAAAGATTATCTCAGAATGATGGATTTGACCCTATTGCACAACTCTCGTTTGAGTTTAACCATTTTAGGGATGAGTCTTTTACTCGAAGGATTATCTGAGCTTCGTTGCATGTGATTGTGTTCACGAAATAGTTAACTGACATTATAAGGAGTTCTTCAGCAGCTTATCGCAAGGTGAGCTTGGGAACCTAGGAAAGCCTAGGGAATGCTTCAGTGGGTTTTGTTGAGCTGGTTAGAGAGTGCTTGGAGTACGGATTTGAGAAGGCGACTTAGAGGATTTTGGATGATTCTTGAGGAAAGTATGGGTAGGTGTGGAAGTTGAGCCCGTACTACTGAAAGCACATGATCCATGCTCGAATCGGGGAGAGTCGTGGGGAATCTAGGAAGCCTATGGGATGAGGATTCTTGGGTATGTTCTGATCTTCTGCATGTTGTTTTTTTGTATGGTGTTGAGCACTCCGGGAGGAGGTTCGGGTTCAGAATTAGGCTCAGGTGTTGAGTCGATCAATGAGCGCATGCGGGAGTTCATCTCCTCGGAGATTACTCGCGATATTTTGGAATGGTCTCCTATGATCTTTGGTTCAGTCAAGGAAGGGATTTTGGAGCTCTTGGATGGTTGCCTCGAGGCCTTTTGGGCCGAGATTATAGCAGGGAGGTTGGGGCTCATCTAGAGCCCAAGGATTGTGGATTCCTAGAATCCTTCAGGAAGGAGGATCTTATTGTTAATTCTTGTCATTGGGGTCGGAGGTGGGTTATGCTCCATGTCTTCAGGAGGTTCGATTCCATGAATGGATTGCCTCGGGGGTTTCACTAGCCTTATGCGAGGAGTTTCCCGACATCTTTGGGTGTGTCGCTGATTGATTGGTCACCAGGTTTGAGAGTCAGACCTCGGCTGTTCAGTCGGTTGATGGGATGGTTGGGGTAACCCAAGAGTAGAAGATTGGTTCAGATAGGCAGCTGGGGAAGAGGAGGTGGACTCATAGTCCGGCTCGGCGATCGGAGCAGTTAGACGTTGCCATATCTAAGGTTAGCGACTCGAGAGGTCGTGGTGGTTCCATGAAGGATAAAGGGGCACATGAGGATGTACGTAGCAGGTCTAAGTGCGACATGTGCTTTTGTGGGTATGGCATCTTTTGCTTTGATTTGGGTAAGCATTATCTCTGGTTTGGTTCTCTATTATTGTATGGGTTATATTGTCAAGGGTTGTTATATGCCATTTTGCATGCCAAAAGTCTCTAGTGGGTCGTATTTTGATGAGCGGGAATTCAGTTGATCGGGGAGTTGTTCCGGTTCTTTGTTGGGTTCAGTTCAGGGGTTTTGATGGAAAGATCTTCAGTCGAGGCAGCATGATTAGTTCTTTAGCAAAGTAGAGTTCATTTGGGTTAGCATTTGTTTGGTATGACTGACAGTTGTTCATGGAAGAACATTTGGGTTCAATCACTACCGTTTCTAGGGAAGGAGCGCTAGCAAGGAAATGGTGTCAATCGCTCGAGTTAGATGGCCATTGGATGTGCCAGGGGAATTTTATTACCGTAAGGATCATAGATGGTTAAAATTCAAAAACTCATTTGAGGATGGGAAGTTTGGGTGAAGATTCGCTAGTTCAAAGTAGGGATGGTGGTCTTAAGTTACCAACATAAAGAACTTAAGGATTTGGTGTGATATCATGGGAAACGTTGGGGTTATCGGGTTGTTGAAGTCTCGGGGAGCATCTATCTGAATTTCAGGAGTTGGGAAATCAACGAGATCAGCTAGTAATGGAACGCTAGTGTTGGTAAACTCAGATCATAATCGGTTCATATTATTTGAAGATA